AATAAAACATATAACATCAGTGGCTCCCTTAAGTTACTCAAGGGCCAGTGTGATGATATTCAAGAAAATTTGAGTTAACATCATAAAACATTTCCAAACAATCAGATCCAAACATTTTTCAAAGTTGTTTATCAATCCCTATTTTTGTGTGTTTTCAACCTATGAAGAAAACAGAAGTCAGAAAATTTTAGAATTCTCTTTCATTGGACTTACACTTCAGTTTCAGAAGCACTTTTAGAACTTTCTTTGGCTTGATTGACAGTTACGTAAGTATCTCGGGCGCTTTTAATATTCTCTCCTATCGAACTGTTAAGTTAGCATAGTGTAAACTTTAAGAACTCTCTTTTCTTCGTTTGTCACACAAGTACCTCTCTCACCTTTAGCATTCTCTTTCATTCAATGTTAGTACCTAGTGCTTTTTCAGAATTCCCTTTGATTAGATTGTGCCGTTCGTACCCTCTGAACTTTTAGGATTATCTTTCATCGGCTGGTGCACTTTTAAAATTCTCTTTCATTGGATTGTCAAGTTAGCATCTGGCGTTCTTTTAAAATTCTCTTTTATTGGATTATTACGTTTTTATCTCACACACTTTTAGAATTCTCTTTCATTGAATTGTTTCGTTAGTATCTCACAATGGAAAAATCCGACATCAGCAACTCGTCCAAGAATATTCCTTTACCATTACGCAACCAGTATGTTCAACGATCCATCGAAAAGACCGCGCAGTCAGTTTTACGCAGAATGCGTTGGAAAGCCCATCTCTTTCTCAACCCTGACACGACCTCGCCCTTGAAGGAAACTTGTGGCTTCAAATCAACCAGCCCCTTCCATAATAAGCTAAAAGAAGACACCGATCACATCAAAGATGAACCCAAGCTACTAATCACCGCAGACAGAACCTCGTGTAGTTCCCTGATACTCTTTACCAGGGCTTACGCTCAGTGGGTTTTTCATGGGTTTTATTTCGCACTTTAATTTACACCTCAGAGTTAATTCTCTGTTCCATCATTTGTGTTATTAGTGCTACGTGGCACACTATTTATATATGTACCTTTACTTTCTCTTCGTTGCGATCTACCATCTTAATCGACCTCGAATTTCTCTGTCCGATCTCGTAGCTTAGTCGGCAGAACAACGGTAGATCTAGTCAGGAGGTCCTGGGTTCGATTCCCACCGAGGTCACAAGAATTTTTTCTTAACCTTATGTGGTTCCCCGATACCCATTACTAGGGCTAACGCTCAGTAGGTTTTTCATGGGTTTCGTTTAGCACTTTAATTTACACTTCAGAGTTAATTCTCTGTTCCATCATTTGTGTTCTTAGTGCTACGTGGCACAACAGTTATTTATGCAACTATATATCATAGTTGAATCGTTTAAATTGCTTCCCTCTCCAATTCGATTCTACAAACTAGATTATCAAGTAAAAAATTGGGAGCGAAGTGTAGACTTTCTAAAAAATATCCAATTTCTGATTTGTTATGGACGAATTAATAAGGTATGGTGTGCAATAAAGAAACCAGGAAAGCGGAGTATTACTATTTTATACATGCTAGTGAAGTAATTGGTGTGAAGTTTTTTTTTCTTTTCTTTTGATGTGGCTGTTCATTTCTTTTTAGAATTTATCAAAAGTGGTATGTATCTTCTTATGCACTTGGAGATTTATGATCATCCATTGGAATAATACCCAAAGTCTTTCTTATAGATAGCTTGAAAAAAGCTTGTGAGCCGGAACCATAGCAATAACATGCTACTATCAAATAACCAACAAAATATCGAATTACTGTATGGTGATCGACATTCAATAAGTTACGGTGTGCAATACAGAAACCGGGAAAGTGGTTTCTTACCTTATGGTACATGCTGGTGAATTAATTCTATTACAATTACTCCTTCCTTTTCATGTAGCTGTTCCCTTTTCTTTTCAAGTTTATTGAATGCAGCCTTGCTATTATTATACTTGTGTGCCTGGAGATATTTGATCCTTCATTTGAATGATAAACACAATCTTCCTTAGATAGCTTGGAAAAAGCTTGTATTGTACTTGTGTCTTTGTAGCTAAAGTAGGGATTATTAAAAATGGTCAGTTAGGGGAACATTCAGTTCTATCAAATAACGAAAAAATACCTAATTTTTGATTGGTAATAATGATACGACTACCAAATAACCAACAAGATATCTAATGTCTAATTGGTAATGGACGAATAAGTAAGTTGATTGCAATACCGTGAGAGAAAGGAAAAGGAGTGTATTACCATATTGTACTATTTATGAAGCGTACATTTTTTAAATAAACCTAGATATGAATCTGCCTTTGTACCTGGAGATTACTGATCACTCGTCGCACAAATACACAAATGTAATCTAGTGGCGTTTACACCATTTCGTACGAAGATGTTCTTGCCGAGATATATCATTTTCCTCTGTTCCTAGTGTTGAAATTCTTGTCTGAAAAATTTAAAATTTTACTCGAAAAAGGACTAAATACATTGCTCCGCAGCAGTCATGAACAAAAGCGTGCCTTTTTTCGTTCTCATTTATTTATTTATGTAACTTTTTTTAAGCAAAACTATGGACATTATAAGCACATAAATTCTCCAACCTGCACCGCTAGTGTCTACTTTATATATTTCTTGTTATTACAAATGTGGTAAACATGTGTTCTAAACGAGAGCTACCGGCAGGGTTATAATACTTTACCCTACATACTACTTACTCAAGCGTTCAAAGGCCTTATCGAAGGCTACGTGTCTGGTACTTTCAATGCCTGTTAGGTGTAGAGGCAAGTGCTGAAAAAATCTTTTAGGGGCAATATCCTTCACTTTTAGTGCTTTAAATCTAACAAAACTTCTGCAATTAGTTCATTTTTCTCTAGAGGTTTTTGAGATTATGCCTGCCACTTTACTATATAATGAAACTTCCCCTTACGACATACCACAGCGATTTTAACAGAAGCATGACGCTTTAGACATCCTCTCAGGCGAATCGTAACGATGGCCGCGCATAAAGTTGTCTCAAGCTTTGGTTTTCAGGCAAATGACGTTAATTGTACAGCCTCGTTTACGTGGAGATATATATAAAGATTTACTAGGGGTTTAAAAATTCTCATATAGAACTGTACTGATTCATTGGAGTTTTATTATAAAAATGTGGTTATTCCAAAGAAGTAGTATCGGAAGAGGAGAAAATTAAACTTTCTTCGTTGATGGCACTTTGAAATATCGATCTGCTACACTAAAACGCGAAACAAGTATAACCAAAAGATACGAAGCAGGCCTGCCAATAGGTGAAGCTTTTTCGTTGGCAAAGGCCACCTTAGTTAAATCGCAGTGAGTTTGGATTCGGAGAAAACTTCTCTGCCCTGATGTAGTAAGGGGATAAGTTGGACTTGGAAAAAATTATCATACTCCTATATGGGAAGTGCATGTATGGTTAACTCGGCCAAAAAAAAGAATTAAAACTTAGCGGAGACAAAGTAGTCTTTTACGAATCGTCACTCGTATGCATTCAGAGTTCTTTAAATACTTAAAGTATTCCACCAAAACGATGCTGGACTCAACATAACTCCTCATGATGTGTAAGGGGGGACGTTTTGGTAATGAGAGCCTGAATTAGGGGCGTAACACAGCCTTTCGTAATGGCTACTGTCACGCTTTTGTAATCCAGTAGGTGTAAGACTAGCATATGTGTCTATTTCATTTGTTACTTCACTGCATATTCGGGCTTGCTCTTTGCCGCTCAGTGGACGGTTGTATTTTTCTTTCAGGGGATTTTCATGCTTTTGTAATCCACCGGATTTAGGGTTGGCATCTGTTTTTGTTCCGTTCTCTACTTCACAGTATATTGGTTCTTGTTCTTTGTCGCTTTGTGGCTTGTTGTGTTTTTTGTCAAAGGAATTTTCTCCATAGGCTTGGTTGTAATGCGACATGGCTGATACCTTGTTGTCTTGCCGGTAACTACGACTTTTATTTGTCAAAACAGGTTTAGTAAAACAAAAGGATTCCCGTAGCCTGAAAAAAAAAATATATGCACTACGTTTACGAAAAAAAGTACTCCTTATTAGCCTAAAGGCAGTTGACTTTTCTTACCTTTACCAAACGTTTACAAACGACAGAACGCAGATCTGACCATGTACTGAGCCATGAAAGTGAACCACAAATGTACGTTAGGCTCGTAACGTTAGTCCCTCAGTTTGTAATCGTGTACATTTCACTTACATTGCAATGCTCTAAAGTCAAAGAAATTAGCTAAATGGTCCAGTTCGCGAGAAAACAAAGTGAAGAAACAGTAGTCTTTGGTAATATACCAGAGTCCAAGTGAAATAAAAGAGGTCCCCAGATTTAAAGGTCTTTGTCTTACTGCTTCCTCCTTCGATCCAAGAACCGATTCTCCCCCAAAAAGGCCAATTAAAAAAGCAGCACGATGTAACATGAAAAATGAACAGTTTTTTCAGATTGTTAATATATAGATTTAGCCAAGCGTAAAAGCGGAGCTTCCAAGTTCGTAACATTATTGATAACATAAAAGATGTGCATTTGCCAAGACTTGCCTGAGACACCACTCCATTCGTTTTCATAGTCTCCCCTACCCTACCCGAGCAATCTGAATGCACGTACGTACGTACGTACCTTCGGTCAGTCACGTGACAACCAAATGAAAAGAGGTTGACCATATTCCATTGGTATGGTTCTTTGCCCCACGCGCGCGAAGCGCGTGGGGGAGCCCCGCTATTAATCTGCACTAACCTGCACCAGCCAATGATGAGAAGTAAAAGTATCACAGCTCCCACCACTGACGCAGCAATATAGTAAATGACGGCGTTATCATCTGATTCAACTTTAGTTTTAGTAAAAACACTTTTTTCTGCGATGAAAAAAATATTGTCAAAATTAGACTAAACAAACAAACATACAAATAACCAAGCTGTGCCTCAAAGTGGAATGGGGTGTTGTATGTGTTCCCCCATACGTTTGATAACGTCTAATGTGAAAAAATGTTCTGCGGGAGGTTTGTTTTGCAGAATGGTAATGTTATGTATTCTAAGGGTGAAAATTTTCTAAGTTCGCTATGGGCAAAATATTCCGTTCAAGCGGCATGGTTAGATAATTCCATGGAGGATGTAAGTTTAGAAGTAGACATGACTTCAGCGTGTTTTTCGTATTCCAAATTGCACGCAATACTTTTATAACTAGAATAGCATTATTTATGGTTTGATCTACCTTTTTCCCAACTCTACGAGTTACCTTGGTGATGTGTTACATAAAATCAATAACAACTATTTGTTCACATTTATGAAAAGCGAAATAAACAAGTTTTGAAGGAGCTGTCTCTTGTCTAGTTCTGACCTATACATACTTCTACAAGCGGAGGGGGAAAGAAATGGGGGAGGGGAGGGGGGACCTCAACAGGTAAAAACAGTTTAACGTGGGAGGTTTGTGGTATGTTTGATCTGTGTAATTGGTGATGAATATGCTCTGCGGAAAAAAAAATCAAAAACAAAAACAAAAAACGTTTGTGTGCCTTTACCTTTGTAGCAATCGTTGTTAGAAGTAGCTCCAGCTCCTTTAGTTGTTTTTCCTTCCAGGCATGTTTTACAGTTCGCCTGTCCTACTTGGTCTTGGTAACTTCCCTTCTCACACTGATTACAATGGACACTGTTACTATCTCGAAATGTTCCCTCTGGACAGGCCACTGTTAGAAGTTATAAAAGATACTTTTGTGTTTTGTGGTTTCTAGTGATATCGAATATTGTGTTTGTATTTTCAAGGTTAACTTTGACTAAGTTACATAACGTACCATCTTCATCCCCAAATTGAGGGATCTCGATTTCAGAAACATCGGGGCTCGATCGTTTCTCCAAATCAAAGACAGTGGAGCCGTGTACTTAGAGAAGTTCAACGTATAATATCCAATGAGAATTGTAGTAACGATTGATTTTTTAAAATCATTTTTCCCAGTTTGTAAATTTTGAAACCATTGCACAAGGTGCTTAGAAAAAATTAAGAATGAAAAAGACAATCTTATTGATAAAGAAATGAAGAGGCCACCTATTTTTACGGGGAGTTTCAGATAAAATGAGCAGTTTTTCTGAGTTTATCTTTGCGTGGCTCTGAGGGTATGGTGAAAAAAGTCGTCAAAAAGAACAAAAACGAGAGTAAATAATGCCTACCACATTCTTTCCCGCTCTTGGTTTCCATGTAACCAGCACCGCAAGTAATACTTGATGAAATATGTTCAAACGAAGATCTATCGGCAGTAAAATTGTTTCCATGCAAATTTATCATAAACTGCCCTACAGCAACAACGTATTGCATTTGAAACAAAAGTGCTTCACTATTCTCATCGACGCTGTCCATTGATGAAGAAGCATTAACAGCTTCTTTAACCACCAATGAAAATTGAACTTTCACCGAGTGATGTGCGGAACGTTTCCTTTTACGGTTAGGTGTCAAGTCACACCCAGGAACTGATAAGGTCTTTAACTGACAAGCTTCGCATCCTGGTATTATAGTGAGAGTGTCACTTATTTCCCTCTCGACCGCTAATCGCAGTTCGTTATGGCTACCGATGTTTTTGCATTGTATCCCGGGAAACCTAACGGAGAAGTGATGTTCTATTTCTTGAGGTTTTGCTTTATCTGTGGAAAAAAAATAGATTAAGAATGGAAAAAAAAAGGAATCAGTCATCCGTTAAAATGGTATGTTTGGTCGAAAACAAGGAAATTGCTTACATGTACCTAAGTTACAGTAAATATTACTGATTATGATGAAGACGAGTGTCATTATGCACTAAATACAATAATCCTACCACATTATCGAATAAAACTTTAATGACTATCATATCCTTTTGGAGGCTTGATTTATTGGAAAAAACATGATTTGAAAGAAAAATGTTTACATACTCAGACATACAGATGTTGACACATTGTCAAAACCATTCCATTTCCACTCTGTATCAGGACCACAAGCATATGTAGTTATAGCCTCCGCACTGAACGAGTGACCTTCATCGCAAGACATGGTACACAGCATTTTACCAGAAAAAGTTTTGCAATTTTTTTTTCCTCGGCTTGGCTGACTCAATAATGGACATTCTGGGAAAATAAAACAGCGTTAGGTCTTTAGCATTAGTCGGATACTGATTTTTGCTATTTAATTGTAGCCCTTAAGCATTCCTACCTTTTTGCACCGTAACTCTTTTTTCGCAGAAGGTTCCCCAATATCCTGTTTCGCAGGTACATTCAAAACTGTCAACTCCATCTACGCACTTTCCATGGACACAGGGATTTGGGTTGCAATCGTCAATATTCATGTTACAATGGTTACCAGTGAATCCTTTCTCACAAGTGCAGCGATAATATCCAGGGACGGGATCACATTGGTGGAAATGTGAGCAATTTGTCTTACACGTGGTTAAACCTACAAGTAAGAAGTAAGTAAAATTGTTAATGGTAACAGTTGGACAACAACAAACATATGAAACATATGTAGTTATGAAACGTATATGTGCACGATCCTTCGAAGTAAAGCACTATTTGAGCAATAGTGAAAATCAGACCTGAAAAAAATTTCAGGCCTGTACGGGATTCGAACCACTGACCTCTGCGATACTAGTGCAGCGCTCTACCAATTGAGCTAACAAGCCAACTGGGAGCAGGCCATCAAATTAATTCGACATAAACCCGTAGATTTTTTTTTTGTTTTTTTTTTTTTCAGGTCTGATTTTCACTATTGCTCAAATAGTGCTTTACTGCGAAGGATCGTGCACATATACATAGGTAACAGTTGGCTAGCTTCTTGTAAATTCTTAGCCTGATTATGATTGCTAATTGTCAGTTATAATCAAGGGCTGCCAACAGTTATTTTTTCCGGCAAAAGATCGATAGATTTACACATTAACTGTTGGATGTACTGTAAAGGTATGTTCTGTTTGAGTGGAACTGAGAATCAAGGGGAATAATAATAGAGATTTTAAAGATGACGGTGATGACAACCTTCACGACGACGGATAAAATTAAAATACTTTGAATACACCAATGATGACAAAAACGATAAGGATAACAACGACCTCAATTATAAGATTGATAACAATAACACCAAAAAATTATAATACTCATAAAAACGAAGGTAATAATGAGCCGTCGGACATTAGGATAACATTTAGACTAATTCGATTATAAAGCCTTGCATTATGTCAAACCTCTGCATTGTGTCTTGAATCTCGTCTGCACTTGTCCTTTGATCCCAGGCAAAAAGCTGTTCCATGCTCGCAAACTCCCGGTAATGAGCCAAGTGCAGTTGTGGGCGGCGTTCCACATGTGAAGAGCAGTTGATGGCGCATTCCAAATGTTTACCTGATGCATAGTACCGAAGAAAGCTGTCGACACCGATGGAGAATTATCATCTGCGAGATAATGCTGACCAAGAGCGATCCAACCACCTCCCCTTACAGTCTCGTTGGTATAAATACCTGTCTCTCGTGTCATCTCTAGTCCATCTATGAACACAGAGACATAGCCGGCAAGTCCATCCCAGACTACTCCGAAGAAATGCCATTGATCGTCTGCTAAAGTAAAACGAGTTCTAACTACTTTATCTTTAATTAAAAAATCAACATGAGACTCAATAAACGAGATAACGATAATTTCATTTGGCTTCCCAGGAACACTATAGGTGAACAGTGTTCCCGATTTGTATTGCTTGTTTGCTTGCACAAACATAGCAATTGTCAAATGTCGCATACTGGGAGTATCGGTGCCGTCAGATAGTAACACCATATCGTCTACACTCTTTCTTTGGAACACCAGATCAAAGTTACTTCCAAGAACTGAAACAAAAACGAAAAGAACAGAGTTTTTAGACAATCTTAAGAGAAGATAGACTTGTTAAGATGTACAAAGCTTTGGGTTGTCAAAACTTGATACTTACATATGTCACAGTGGTCTCCAGAGTATGAGGGAAAACATTCACAGCTGTAGCTATTCGCTTCGTCTATGCAATAAGCATTGGCCATACAAGGATTTGAAGCACAATCATCTATATCCACCTCACAACGAGATCCGGTAAAACCAACCCTACACGAGCAATTAATGCCACCTATAGAGTTGTAATTTTTACACGTTCCACCATTCTGACATGGTGATGATATGCATAGGTCTAGTAGGTTTTCACAGTTTTCCCCATAGAACTGATCCAGACATTTGCAATTGTAACCTGGTGTTAGATTTACGCAAGTTCCATTATTAATACACGGATTAGATTCGCATTCATCGATTTCTGTTTCACAGAATGTTCCATTATACCCATCAGCACACAAACACCGGTAGCCAAGAGTAAGGTCCATACAAGTGGCATTGTTTAAGCAGGAGTTATTAACACAGTCATTGATATTTTTCTCGCATAGCTTTCCTGTATACCCATCAGCACAGGAACAAGTAAAATTGTTTACTGCATCACGACAAGTAGCACTATTGAAGCATGGTTTTGTCAAACACTCGTCGATTTCTAAATCACAGTATCTGCCGTAGTAGCCACTATTGCAATTACAAATAAAGCCTGTAAGTGAGTTAACGCAGTGTCCATTTTGTGTGCAATTTGAAATTTTGCAGTAGTCGATGCGGTTTTCACAATGGGATCCGTTAAATCCCTTTGGACACTGACAGGAGTAGTTTGCCACACGATCAAGGCATGTGCCATTGTTTTCACAAGGACTGGATGCACACTCATCGATATTCTTTTCACACTGCGCACCTGAAAATCCAGTGGAACAGATACAAACAAAGCCATCGATCTGTGGAGCAAATAGGAGAAGTTAATCTATAAAGCCAAGAGTTGTAAGTCACTCCGTGTACCACATAGCCATTGGAATTAACTCTCTATATAAGTCAAAAAAGACATCAGCTGTACGGTTAGAGAAGTTGCCTTGATTAAGTTATATGAATGGTGGTAATAAGAGAAGTGAAAGCAGTTAATTATAAAGAAGGAGCCTTTTAGGGTCATGCAACAAATGAAAAATAACCCAAACGTTCTGGGGAGTGTTATGGTCAGGGCATTGAAAAATTGGCCGGCACTCAGTCGGTGGCCTAGCTGGAGCCCTATCTCTTTCAAAGCATTTGTCGTAGTTACTAAACAGATATAGTCACCTGATCTTTACACTCTCCGCCATGGAGACAAGGAAACGACGCGCATTCATTGATTTCCATGTCGCAGTATTCACCAAAGAAGCCGGGTGCGCAATCACAACTGTAGCTGTGTAATCCATCCCTGCATGTAGACCCATTGCTACAAAAATTTACCAAGCAATCGTCAACGTTGACGGCACATCGAGGTCCACTGAATCCATTGATACAAGCACAAGTGTAGTTGTCCACTTTGTCAAAGCAAGTTGCATTATTTTGACAAGGAGAGCTGGCACACTCGTCAATGTTTACACTACAATTTTTACCGGAATAGCCTCGCTTACACGTACATTGGTAGTCATTTATCAGGTCCTTGCAGGTTCCATCATTTAAGCATGGGTTTTCCCCACAATCATTAACGTTTATTTCACATTGAATACCAACGAAGCCTTCAGGACAAGCACATTTATAATCGTTTATGCCATCATTACAAGTACTGTTGTTTAAGCAATTCGCTGTCTGGCATTCATCCACATTGATCTCACACTGTTTTCCCTCGAACCCACCTTCACAAATACAAGTAAATGAAGTTACATCATCCAAACAGGATCCATTGTTGTAACAGGGCACGGTAACACAGTAATCAATATCCACGTCACACATTTCACCTGTAAAACCTTGCGAGCAAATGCAGCTAAAGTGGTTGATAGCGTCATAACAAGAGCCATTGTTCAAGCAAGGGTTTACAGCACAATCATCGATATCATTCTCACAGTTTACTCCATTAAATCCATCGCGGCAATCACAAAAATAGCCATCAAGCTTGTCTACACATTTTGCTTGGTTTTTACAAGGATCAGAGAGGCATTCATTAATTTCATGTTCACAAGCCTTACCAGTGAAACCGTTTTGGCATATGCAATAAAACGCGTTCACTTGATCAAGGCAAGAAGCATTGTTTTGACAATTTGCACTCAGGCAGTCGTCTATGTTATGCTCACACCTTGTTCCATTTAGGCCCGGAGGGCAAACGCACTGATAGCTGGCGATCCCATCCAGACATTTTCCTCCGTTTTGACAGGGGTCGCTTCTACAGTCATCAATATTTTCTTCACAATTTTTCCCTGTGTAACCCAACGTGCAGATGCACTCGTAGTTGTTTATCTTGTCTCTGCAAATCCCCCCATTCTTGCACGGAGATATGGAACACTCATAAATGTCTATGTTGCACAGAGTTCCTATGTATCCAGGCTCACACACACAACTGAATCCCCCAGGAAAGTTTTTACAAGAGGCATTATTGGAGCATGGTGAAAGTGCACATTCATCGATATCGCTTTCACAGTTAACACCCTCAAAACCGTACTTGCATGAACAAGTATGGTTGTTTACAAGATCATGACACGTGCCATTGTTTGCACAAGGTTGGTTTTGACAGTCATCAATGTTAATCTCACACTGCTTTCCGGTGTAACCTGGTTGGCACGAGCACTTGAAATCACCAATGAGATCTATACATGTGGAATTGTGGTTGCATGGGTTCGAATTACACTCGTCAATTTCTACGTGGAACAACAAAAAAAGACGAAACAAGTAAACAAAAGAACGAAGAAAAAAATCAATGAAGAACTTACATGAAATCAAGCAAAAATTCCTCGAACCCCTGAGTGTGACAATCATCTCATTTCTCCTTACATTATAATTATGAAACCAAACATTTATGATAAAGGAGATAAAAGGAAACGATGGGCAACTGAAAAAGCTCTTGATTGATGAATATATTCTTCGTGTCAGTTCAACAGTGAATGGCATGAATAACATGCAAGAGTGTCTACGTGATATCAAAGGAAAATTGATGAGACCTTACAGTTATAGAGCAGTAGGAAGTTTCAATTCATGATTTAACATCACTGTAATAGATCGTTATGCGGGACCGCTACATTTCAGCTTGCAGATCTAGATGGGAGCTACATTGCATTTATAAACAACACAAGACTTTAGATACTGTCCTGAGTGTTGGAACGTCATTAATATGTTTTTTTCGCAGCTAAACTGTGTACAACCCTTATCAGAAAGCTTAGGTGATACCAGCGATCAATAGAGTTACCTATGCAATCCTGCCCCTTCATTGACCCGGACTTCAAAGCTACAGTTGTTCCTGGGCATACTAAGCATGCGCGACTCTCACTTCGGGGCTGGAATGATCGTCTATTACACAACGTACACGGGTGTAACCCGTTTGGAGAGAAGGAACCAGCAGGGCATGGTACTGAAAGTGATGAACAATAAATATCCAGATTCTAACTTCGATATAGGTCCCCGTACATGCGAATAAATGAAAACCAAGTTGAACCACTTCTACTATCTCATATTTAATCATCTTAAAACTAACTGTGTTAACCTAGAAAGTCATTTCCATTCAAATTTGTTTCTGTTCTTAAGTGATGAAAACGAAGTGCTAAGCTTACTATCCGAGTCCAAGATTGTTTGCCTGCTTGTTTTGTTTGTTTTTTTTTTCGAAGCATCTAATTTCAATCAGCATTTTTTTTGTGTAAATGTTTGAAAGGCTAGTTGGTAACAAAGTGTGTTTTGATTAAATATTTTGCGCATATTTACATACTTCCACATTGCGTAGAGCTGTTGCAACCCACAGAGGACGTCGTTTCATTGTCACCGCATTTTGAACAGGTCTTCTGCCCCTCCATGACTTGATAATAGCCCTTTTCGCAAGCAGTACAAGGCTCTAAGCCAGTCGGTGAATACGAACCAGGTTTGCAAAAACCTTTTAATATGTAAAGGATCTATCATCAATCCTTGTAAAGCGCATGAGTAAAAAATTCAATTTTCAAAGGAGTTTTTATGCTGAGTTCAAGGCATTGCTTTTAATACTGTATTCACTATCAATTTGGCTAAGTGGATCAACCGCGTAGATTAATGAACACCTGATGTTTCCCGTGGTTCAAAGAGAGACAGGGGCCTCAAATTAAAAGAAAAGTTAACGTAGCCCAAAATATGAGATGAAATAAGATCTAATAACAACAGTAGAAATCTGTTCCCACCAACTAATTATCCGAGTAACCTTTCATGATAAATCTAAGGTGAGGAAAAAAATAGCCTTATGGGACCTTATCAGTTCTTGAGTTTTTTTTTTTTTTCTGAAATGGGGTGTAGTTACAACATAGTTTCACTCAATAAAAATCCTAGTCTTGGTAAATCGGATTTTGAGATAATGCGTCCATGCTGCACCGCCCTTCTCTGATCGAAGTAAAAACTTACACATACATCAACAAATCAATTACCTAAGCAGCTGGATATGTTTACAGATCTGGATTCAAATGTTGAGGTGTTTGGGGGGCACGTAAAACACATTTCCTGAGCATTTAATCCTTGATATGTTCCGATGGGACAGTCGTCACATTTCCCAGTGTCCTTATTCAAAAATGTTCCAGCAGTACAGTTTACTGAAAAAAAAAACAGCGGGAAAAATGTTTGTGAAACATGACTGATCATACCATTCTACGGAGAAGGAACAAATTTTTCAATCATAACGGAAATGAAAGCCGCTCTTTATGTATAATTTGAGTATATCAACAAAGTTGAAACGGTAAATTGGCCACCGTTCCGATTATAAAAGCTGACGTTTCGAGCGTTAGCCCTTCGCTCTGACGAAGGGCTAACGCTCGAAACGTCAGCTTTTATAATCGTAACGGTGGCCAATTTACCATTTCAACTTTGTTGATATACTCAAATTATTTAGTTACCCCCACCGACGCAGCCCCAAAGAGTTTCTTTAGAAACTATCAGCCTTCGCTCTTTATGTATGTTTGTCGGTTTCTCAATCGTCATCCCATAGTGTGCTGTGAGCTTATTCTCGTCAAAATCTTGCGATATCATCAGTTTCCAGGTTTCTCTCACGAGTTTGGCAGTGTTTAATATATTTGTAAGTTATTCAATATATTTTGTCCTACTTTCCTAAATCGTACACAAAAAGAAGTTATTTAGAAGTTATTAGAATGGAATCTGCATAGCTCACTATGTTTTACCTAGTTTAAGCACTCTGGCATGGCTAAACGGTACCACGTGTGTGGCATCGTTTGAGGTAACCATATCGGTCCGCCTCCAGCACTGTATTGATAAGGCCCTGTCTTGTAGTTTTTACCTTCTAGATAAACACATTCGCTTGTGGCTCGCGTGTTTCTCAGAAACGTAAGTCACTCTTAATATTTTCGACAGTATACCACTAGAAAACGTTGCATAACTAATTTATTCAAAGTATTCCAACTAAAATCCTTCATTATTTTGGGCTCATGAAAATGTTAACGAAATTTTGAATTATATGAATTTGATCAGTAGGGATTTGCTAAAGCAAAGGCATATAAAAAACAAGGAAAGCTTTATTGCTGCTCGACGTTTTGGAATCATCATGAATCATTTTCAAGAGGCTAGTTAAATAGCGTGCAACTAAGGAAAGTTACAAGATAAGCATAAATTACAATAAACGGTCTAAACAAACACTCAATGAAGCGTTCAGGCATTTCACAATTGTGTTGGAGGTTATGATGTTTGTAAATCGAAGATGACTTTCTAGTGTGCCCCTCTACGCGCTCGTGTAAGTGACCACTGAACGTGAAACAGATTACATCTGCGCCAACGTGTTTGTTTAGGCCGTTTATTGTAATTTATGCTTATCTTGTAACTTTCCTTAGTTGCATGCTATTTAACTAGTCTCTTGATAATGGAGTCATGATGATTCCGAAACGTCGAGCAGCGATAAATCTTTCCTGGTTTATCATATTTATACACAGAAAAATCTTATCGAAACAAAAGTTCTCTGAGAATTTAGAAAAGCCAAGAAATGGCATCTCTGTGCAGATACTTAATTTCCTAGAACTTACAACAATAAGTCCCCCTTAACGTTTGTCCATTCGAACAAAGCGGTTTTGGCTCCTTGATTTCGAGTGACTGCTTATCAGGAAGTAACACAGTGCCATTGATGGTTAAAGACAGACTGCCGTTATCCACTGCACGCTTCATTTCGTCGCCGATTTTCTTTGCGATCTGTACACCTTCCTCTCCTACCTTAACCTCACTCTCTTTGGTGCCCTCTGCTTTAATTTTATCGAGGCCAACTGAAATAGTGGAATAAAGCCAAAAAAATTGATTAAGTGTTGTCGCTACGTGCCAGTGATAGTCTATTCTCCATTCAGATCGGCTATTGACAACGGCCAAAAAACTCCTACATTATAATAGGCCAAAAGGAGGAAAATGCCACATTAATTCCCAAAGTTATAGCTGCTACTCGCGTGGCCAAATCTACTAGATTCTATGCTTGTAACTAATGGTTTGAGCTTCATGTGTCATTTTACGCATTTTTATCCTGATGGGATACATGAGAGTTCAAGTAAGTAGCAACTCGAATCCGATTTTGGAGACGTCAAGCAAATCCATGCTCCTGAGGTGTACATAAAACTTCGCCTTTCAGTCACTTTTCCACTATTTTTTTTCTTTTACTTACCAACAATATCAAGAGTAATTTCCGTTTGTGGAATTGATCGCCTATGTCGCCTCTGTGGTACATCTTCGTCTAAAGAATGTGAAAGGTTAAACAAATATAAGAAATATCGATAAACATAATGAATAAGCAAGTTATCTTTATTCGCATACAGTGATTGAAGTTGTTAACTTGTATTAGGTGTGCTTCTTTCAGACTGCTCAAGATTGAGCAAATTTTCCTAACGATGGAAAATTGGTGTTTTCTCGTCATGTTACACAGGGTAAGTACAGTTTTTTTTTTTGGGACTTCCTGAGCAGAAGCAACATAAAAAGGGATCAATTCCAAAAATAACCTAAGGGGTTCAAATGTATTTGAATGGCTCTAATGTTTCGTTCATTTAATTTTTCTGGAACGACATACCATGTACAACGTGACGCAATATTTCTTTCAATATGCTGGTTACGCGAAGTTCAATTTTCGTGAAACAATAAAAGCCAAAAAAGAATAATTACTATTTAATCACTATTTAAAGATTTTCAAATATCCAGGGGCTGGTATGACGCGACATTTCGTATCGGCAAAGAGACTAATCAGGTAATTATTATCAGCATCATTATTCTTATTAATAATATCATAATAATAATAACCAATAACCAGAAACACCGCATTATTAGGATAGAAGGGCCACACATCATGTCATTTAGTAGCATATTGGCCTTGCCGGCCCACAATGTAAACTACGGGTTGCACACATACATTTTATTGCCTCTCTATCGTCGTGAGGACCTTTCATTTCCTCCCATTCCCTTTGCTAAATTGAGGTTCGCTAAATTCACAGTGACAAATTAAACTATAAAAGAATTATAAAACGAATAATATGAAACCGCTCATGTAAGCTTAAAGTACCTGTTGAACGTCGTCTTCTTGTGACGTTACCACAAGTGACTACAACATTCTCTACTTTGCATTTGTCTCTCAGCGCTTCCTCTTGACAAGCTGCGCTAAAATAGGACTCATTCAGAAGCTTGATGAAATTTTCTTTTATTTGCTGTTGGGTCTCAGGTGAATTGCAATCTCCATAAAAATAGTGCAAGGAAACTGCCATTCTTGTCTCCCCCGGACGGAACACCTCTGCAAGGAGTTTTTAGCAAAGTACGCCAAAATTGATAAAACTTCAGTAAAAATCTTAAAGACCCTGATGTTACGAAACTTTTCCGCACGACGGAAGAAAACTATTTCTGGTAGCTACAATAGATTTAATTTTACTGGTAAGGCTAACAAAAGTTTTCAAGGTTTTCCCTCACGTTTAAAAAATGACCTAAAATCTTAACAATTCTTACTGAAAATGTTTGCAACAAAGGCGTTCAAAATGGGGATCAGGACCATTCTCAAGTGAGTCATCATTTGGACTGTACCTAGTCAGAGGAATAGGAATCAGCTCAGAAAACGGTTATGCAGACAGAAGCGTTGGAAAGTTTTAGGATGATATTCATGACGGTGAAAACGTGCCTCCCTCTAAATAATAATGATTACGATTTCACTACTGACTTGTACAGTCCGGCAAGAAGGATGTTGGATTCCAAGTTCCCTTTGCTCCGCAAACCCATATGCTTGATAGAAGAGGCTGTGAAAAATCAGATTCATTGTTGCAAGATGGTGTACAAAATGTACCAAACATCCAGTCATCACAAGCTTTAGCACCATTCAAAGGAGCGTTCAGTTCTGGGCACTCTGTCGCTAACCAAGGCAAAAACGCACAAGAAGAGTACCTTAGATAAGGATAATTACATAGTGACTGATAAAAGGGTTGCATCGCTTAGCATAGAGCAGCTAGGAAACTGACAATAACGATGAAATTGACAATTATGATAGTCATTATGATGAAGAGGATGATGATGACAAGAATGATGAGAGAACGTGACAACAAAAAAGTAGCTTAATCACGAACCAATTACAAAATACTGTAAATTAGGGATAAAAATAAGAGCAAACAAGTAAGGACTATTTAGTCATTGGTATCAAAAATGTTTAGGGAGGAACGTTTCACTAGAGAAAGAGAAATACGGACGGGGTTATGAGGTTTTAGAGTTAAGACGGCTCATAGATGACGATATTTTGCACCTTTCCGACTTTTGAACAGTAGTTCTTATGGTTATTTACGTTTTATTATTAGTTTAAATTGACAGATAGCTGGATCGTTATTTGGGTTGTTGTCATAGGCAGTACAGTGCACATTCCAGGTTCCCCAATAAAACTCATCTCCACTCTCTCGATTGCAATTAATAACCAAAGGACTGTTGCTATTGTCTTCAAATTGTGGTTCATTCCACGTCACCACCATTTTCATCTTTGTGGCAGTTATGTGTTGATCAGGAGGACAATAGACAACAACTGGACCTTCATTATCTGGAAAAAACATAAAAAAGTGGCTGCTTTCAACTAACGTGACGGCAAATTCGGCGACGGTGTCAATTAACGCTTTTCATTAAAGTGCACCTACACCCAAAAAATTTTTTTCGCTTAACGAAGTAAGCTTATTTTTTTGAGTATTTCTGCGCAAAAATTTTTTTATTTGCTCAAATCTTCAATTTTCTATGCCCAGTCAAAATACGGAAAATCGGCCGCCATCTTGCCCCACGACCGAGTTTAAAGAGGAATGGCTCTAGTGGGTAATGTGACGTCAAATCGAGAACACGAAAGTCTGC